AGTCATACAGGCAGGAGCTAGCCTAGATCCGCTCCATAAGTCCTTTTGCGAGTTTGGAGTGCCATCTGCACTTGCCCCTATCGTTCGGCGATGCTGTACAGGCTACAGCTACAATGAATAAAAAAAAAATAACTTACTATTTTTTTTATATATAATCCTATATATAGAATAGGGCAATATCCTCATAAAAATAAATTTATTTGACCACTCAGTCAAGTTATATTCAAGCAGACTGTCACCGAGACTGAGCGAACAAATTAACAGGGTGCTATGTTTGGATGTCACAATTTGCTCATTGGGAGTAATGTAGACCGCTATCAATAACAATTTCATTAAATTGACTTCAAGATGGCCCCGGTACAAGAACAATGAATGTCGAATAAATATCTAATAAGAATATTCATAACTGTATGTCTGTCTGTGACAGATGTAGATATAATAATAGTCTTTTTAAATATATCTGAAAAAATACATTTTTTTTATAATAATTTTACCCTCAATTCAATTGGCAGGAAGTAAAAAAAAATACAATACCATACAGCAATTGCTCATTTAATATCTAAATTAAAAAACTAGCAAAATTTGTACATTATTTATTTGTCTAAAGTGTAGTTTAGGTATTCTAATTCTAACCTCAATACAGTTACGGGAAACAACTTATACGAAACTGTAGACAATGAAGTTTGCGCAATAGAGGCCTAAAATAATTACTGTGCTGGTCACGTGGTATAAGAATTTTACTCGACATATAAATTATATATATATTTCAGTAAAATTTGTAGTAAATTCTTTTATTTTATGGATTTACTCTATTTCTAAACTGTAGACAGTTGGCGCGAAATCTTTTATTCAAAACCGTAGATAATGAAGTTTGCATAATAGAGGCCTAAATTATTATTATGTAATTCAACTTACTATGTATAATAGTATGAAAATTATGCTCGATATTTTTAAATATATACCTAAGTAAAATTTGTAGAAAAATTGTGTATTTTGAACAATATTTCAATTCGTATACTTTGCAAAATATTAAAAGTAAAAATATTTTCTATTTAAAATATTTTATTATTTAATATTTTAAAATTAAAAATATTTTAATTTTTTGGAAAAAAAAATATAATTAAAATTATACAAAGAACGAAAATTATTACTTTGTGGATTATGCGATTGTAAAATCTATTTTTTTAAATAGAGAGCTAGAATTTTTTAATTTATGGTATAAGAGATTAAAAATTAAACTGACGTGCAATTGACATCAAAAAATTAGTGTTATAACACCAACAATCACACGAACATACTTGCGCAGGTTGGCAGTTAGGTACCTATAACAAGAATCACTCTCCATTTGTTGGCAGTTAGGCAAAAAGAAGTCTGGATTTCAAGGCTAAGTTTCTCACAAAAGATGAGATATGACGTTTATCAGCTAACCATTCAATGCACTGTTACGACAGAGACCAGTGGGCGGTGACGGCAAAATGCCAAAAATACGCCGCGTTACACCACAACTACAAGTCCGACACGCCTAGCTGTAGGATAATGTGATTGGAATGGTAACACCAGGCACCTGACAGAAAGTGGTGACCATCACTTGTAAATAAAACACCCTAACGTTTACCAAGGATGACACTTTGTGACGACTTTTGGTCTTTATAAGAACGCAACTCTTTTTTTTTATTGGAGATTGAAACTGGTTTAAGAAACTAATAACATTGCCAGTTCTTGTCAATTGAAGTAGCAGGCCGAACTGGACGGTAGGGATAGTAATTTTGTCATACGTGTAAGATGCTGATAGCTCCTATATTATTAAATATTAAAAAATATTCATGTCTGCTTGACGCTGCACGCCACTGCTTTCTAGGAAAGTAATTAGTCGTGATAAGAGAAGTCTATCTTTTACTCTACCTTTCTCTTTTAAGTCTACCTTTCTCATTCTAAACATAAATAATTTTCATGGTCAAGTCACTAAGTCATGAAACAGTAACAATCAAACCCATTTGACAGTTGCTGTTGCGATCAATAACACTCGGATTTATACTGCAACATTGTTAGATTTGCAAAAGATTCAATTTAAATTAGTTACAAATGGGAATTGACAGTAACAGTGTTAAATTAAGCCATGGGACGTTTACAATATTGTTTTCCACATACTGCACATAGATTCATAATAATTTAAGAGCCGGACTGTTTTCGGTGGAGCTCTTATCACTTCCCACGAACTTCCATAATCTTCTTCAAAAGTTGATACGACTCCAGGTTTGTTTTTAATTTCCCCTTCCTTTCGTTACTTTTATATTTTGAGTTAATATCTCACATGCATACAATGTATATTTCAGATACAGGTCTTATTGCACATGCAACTGTATATTTAATACGAAACGTCTTTAAAAACAAGGGAACGAGATATACTGCTCTTGTGCGGACAGGAATAACTCACAAATTGGTTTCACATGAAGGAATTCGTCGCTTTTTCCTTCGTCTTTTAACCGTATTTAAGAAAAGAGAGTTCTCAATGCCTCTTCTTGATATTGTGTATTTACTTAGAACAGCACTTATTTAAAAGAGCCACATGCAAGTTTTTATTTTTCTTCTTGTATACCGAAAGATTGGAGAATAAAAAATATGACTTAATAATAATAGTAATGTAGAGATAGGAATAACTTTTCAAGTTTATTTGAATAAAGATTATAATTACCTACTTCTACTTCAATTGATTCAGTTTTACGTATATATTAATACTTTTTGATTAAACCAAACAAAAGCACGGCTTTGTACAAACTTGGAAATACCGTACTTTAGCCGCTAATATATATATTACCTATTATATTTAACAATTATACTTTAATAATTTCAAAGTTAATGTGGATCAATAAATGAATAAATTATTATTATTTGAAATAAATCACATAAAAAAACGAAATGCGTTCAAAACGTAAATAATTTCAGAATCAATTTATCGAAATACTAATAGATGCCGGTACCCATACTATTCAGTGTTGCCAGCATGGTTTGACAATGTTCATTAACTAGATTTCGGAAAACTACGAAACAGCAATTAAATTTTGCTTCTATATTAATAAAAGCACTAACTTGCAATTTTGTTTATGAAATATATATTACTTTTGTTAAACAAATTAAAGTACTATGTCAAATTAAATTAGTCACAATTTTTTATATTTTAGTTATAGAAATACGAAGTTAATAACCATCGTAAAATACAATTTTTGTAAGTAATTTTTTCCAATAAATAACTTTATTCAATTTTTGTATTTTGTTATATTTTATAATGGCAAGGGAAATAAATTTTATCTATTATATGGTATTAGAAACGTTATATAGATTTTTCCGAGGAATAATTAATCTATTAATATATATATTTGTTGAAAGTATATTTTTATAAACAAACATCAAATTTTACACATTTTGTCCGTCTAACTGAATTTGTTACAAGAAGTGATTAAAATCACCAGTTTTAATGGTAAATCTACTCTGGTGTGAACACTGGTTCTATTTTTAATTCCTCCTGGTTATGGTACACGAGTGCAGCCGCGTGGGTGCCCACTGGGATCAGGATGTGGCCCATCGAGACATTAAACCGTTTGAGATAGTTGCCATATGACGCCTTCATCCGACGTACTCGTATTTATTTTACATGACGTATGTATTCTACACTTGTATTTCGCCGCCGCTTTGTTCGTGAGATGTCTTTGAAGGATAGGATGTATAATTTAATAAAATACTATTCACTACTGTCAAATTGTAGTGCTTTTGTTAACTAGGGAGTGCAATTATTATAGACATGTCTATTTTTTTAATCATTTTCGCCACATATACTATATATCATAACAGAAATAAAAATGTACCAGTTGAAGGTTCTTCTTTATTGAAGTAGCTAGGCGAACTGGACCGTAGAGATAGTAAAAAAATATATATAAGACGCACACAATAGGCTGAAATGTGCTATTTTGATTTTAACTTTGAGTTTAATTATTAGAAGTCAATTGATACTTATATATCAAATTTTATGATATTTAGTTAATTCGGACATAAAGTTTAGGTGATGTGGTGGTTAGGGTGGAGGGGTTTAGGTAAGGGAAAATAGTGACCTAGTCTGGACAAATTTGTTACAATAGTCTGAGTTAAGCTCTTATTAACATATGTATGTATAATACTTCACTGGTCCCGCTTATACCAGTGGATATTTTAATAGAAGAAACTTACACAAAAAATATTTAATCAATATAAAAAGTTACAATACATGATTTATTTTTGCTGACGTCAACTATATTTCCGGTTTAGGAGAGTTATAACAATGAAATTACAGGATACAAAGGCATAACAAGTTGGTTCCAGCGCGGGCGTCACAATATACTTTGTATTGCTTGTGATTCTGTATTTTTTTATGAGATGAGCCATCAGATATTATGCCATGTCATTCACATAAGAAAATTAAATCACTAAGACAGTAATATAAATTAGCGGTGATTACTCAGCCGTTGTTCTTTGTTGTTTTAGGATGTCTTGTCATTAGTTATTGTTATGTAGTACCTAACTAGTCATAGTGTCACTTTTTTAAATTTGACGCCGTCATTATTATTTATAATCACGGGATCTTTCCACGGTTTATTTATCATTATTAAGTACACGATATTTTAGCAGTGTTACAACCGCCATGATCACGGGTAGAGTAAAGAGTAGCTGGTAGATGGTAAATAAAATTATGGGCGGTCGTATTCGCCTCTACTATCGAAACTTGCTCAATATTCATATAAGTAAATACTCAATACACTTTCCGATTGCAATTTTTGTTTTTCTTTAATCAAAACAATCACAGCTTTCTTCCAGTGATTGCTATGAGTCAGTTAGTAAGTTTTGTTTTTGATTACTGAAACCAATCCTTTCTTAATTTTACTAGTTATGTTGTTATTCCTTGTGACTCAATCCTCAATTGTAGTGTGTTATTTGTTAACTTGATGCGAATATAATTGTCGTTATTGTTGCAGTTTGAAATGGAGGAGCGGGGTAAATCTGAGACAGTATGTCTGCAGCAAGTGACTGAGTCGGACTCACTTGATCCTAACAAGTAAGTAACATACAGATAAACAAACTGCATCATTAGCTACCTTTATACTACACGTTCTTTCACGCGCAATTAGAAGCACGAAGATCTTGCTATTATATAGCGCGGGAATTCAGCGTGTAATCTCGTAAATTAATTATTTTTTTGTTCACACTTTTGCGCGTATGTTTCATGTGATTTCACTTCCTTTAAAAATATTATTAATATTATTTGATTCTAAGACGAGGGAATGTGCGAACTGGCGGTACGCGTGGTTTTTCTCGTTTAAATTTACGAGTACATTGCTCATTCTTTTATGCGTGAATGCTGATTCGATTTGTGAAAGAGCGTACATGTATGTAAAGGTAGTTATTACAAGCCTGTATGTAGTTTATTAGAATTTTTGAATAATATATAAACTTATTTTAATGTTACTTTGTATTTTAAACTGCTGTCTTCTTTTATTGAAATACATGGTAGTCTATGTACCTTGTTCGTAGTACTATCTACCTTCTTATTAAATTTCATTAACATCGTTTAGCCGTGAAAAGGTAATAAAAAGATATACACACTTCGAATTAGTAAAAATACTAGTATGTTTGTTGTAATAACTGTATGATTTTTGTTTATAGAAGTGGCTCCAATAATGATGATTATGATCCGCATCTCCATCGTCAGGTTCCCAAAGCGACAAAGTAAGTATTGTATTACAACATAGTGTAGTGGATTAGTAGACGTATTAGTGGTGGGTTCGATCTTCGAAAAATATAATATAAATACTATTTATATTAATCTGGGTTTTTTTATTATATATTTGTACACTACAATATGAACCCAGGATAATTTACATAGTGCCATCTAATCTAAACTCAGTAAAGTTTATAATAAACAACAGATAGAATGTAGGAAAAACGTAATATTTATTGTACTCAAAGTAACAAATCTTGTGAGAATCGAACGCTAAACCATCAGGACTGCTAGCTGTAGCTAGCTTTTAAGACATCCAGTGACATAATCGAAAAGAATATTAAAATTGAGATATTTCTTTGCAGTAACATGGAAACTCTGGTGCATCTCTTGAAATGCAGCTTAGGAACAGGCATCCTGGCGATGCCGCAGGCGTTTGCTAGAGCCGGCCTTGTCACTGCCATTATAGCAACGGTGTTGGTGGGAGCTCTCGTCACCCACTGCTTACACGTTCTCGTTAGTATACCACTAATCGAGGTATTCTTTATAGAAAGTCTACTGCGTGGGTATCTCTGTCTGAATTATTTTAGCCGTCAAGCAGTTTGCATGATTTGAAAGTATTTTCTCTGTCAATATCAAAGAAAATACTGGGTACATACAGGAATATAAGTTTTGTCGTTCGCAATGGTAACGGATGAGGAATATTTCGGGCGTGATGTCGTTTGTTTCGAGCTGTTGTTCGTATATATTGACGACGGTAACCACTTACAAGTACAAATTGATAGTAACTAATTAAATAACTATACCGTAGTAGTTTCTGAAATATAACACACTGATGATGGATAGACAAAGTCAGATACTACATACATACTTAGTTCTTAAACATCAGTATCCTAAAAAAACAACGTATTATTAGACTTTGTTTAATAATTAGATAATTATGACGTTAGAGATTCTACATTACATTTTTTTCTAATTGTATGTCCGCATTTAAAAGTGAATGCATTATCCAATGCCGTGCTTAAATAGATTGCACGTAGGTGTATACCAAGATGTTAGAAAAACTAATATTGGGTGCAGCTAAAGTGTATTACATTGTCTTACATCATACGATGACGAATTGTAAAACTTGCTTCTGCTTCTATAAATGAATTAGTTAGCTACGATCGATCCCATTGTCCCATTTCATTGGCGATTGAAATCTATTGGGCTGAATCGAGGGTTAACATTAGTTTCACCTACTTCGTATTTCACTTGTTGTAAGTTAAGGCGGTGAAATTACAAGATAAGAGGTATTATATCACAGTCTTCTGGTATGGTGAGTATGAATGATGTCGCGGGCGTCATGCGTCAGCACGATAACGTGATATAGACTGCTTCCCATCAGATAGGTCTCACGACAACCTGTTTTCCATTTCGTTTAAATAAAAATAAAACGATATTGGACTTCGAAAATGTACTGTATAAAAATTGAAAGGATTTCTAAAATCAGTGTAATACGTTCGGAGTGTATTGTCCTCCTATTTTTTTTTATGTTAATTACTATAATCAATAATAAATAATTAAATTCAAATGAATGTCAAAATTAAAATTAATTGTCCTCAATCAAATCCGCTTACCCTCTTTTTAGTATGAGAACAGATAAATAACTGTACATAATCAAACGATGTGATTGTGACGAGACAGCTGAACGTAAGTGGAAGGAATTACGGTTTCCCGAGATACTCGTATAATAGTTCAATTGTTCTACTTCGCGGCAAACATTGGACATACCTACTAGTGGACGTGATTGGAAGATAAATCATGCAAATGACCTGTTTCAGTCCATGACTGCTTGCTAATGAATGAATACCTTATAAAATGGCAATAAAGACAACTGATATAAATAATTAGATACATTTTTTCTGTAAAAACATACATAATATACAAGTTATACTCTTACTTAGTTACTCAACCAATTGACATAGTATTAACTAATAAACAACGTATTTAATATTTTGACTTTAATGAATGATTGCCATTTGATAGTTTGTATTAACATGTTTAATTTAAAAATGTAAAGTTACAACAAATATTTATATGAACAACACGTAATCTTACTCGTTCTTCTAGGGAGAAGACAGTTTTCCTAATGTTTATTAAATGGTATGGTATATTAAAAAAACGAAAAATGACTGTTCAAAAGTGCTTAAGTTGGATAAATAATTTTCCATTTTATTCTATTTTCTTGTAATGAGTTTAATACATGGAAAAATATGTTTGCTCAGGTGCGATCACAATATGCTGCTTGCAAAATGCGTCGGGTACCTCTCCTGACGTATCCGGAGTCGATGAGCGCCTCGTTGTCGGCAGGGCCTCCGTCGCTTCGCGGTCTCGCCCGCCCTTCAGCGATCACAGTGGATGTTTTTCTGGTCGTCTATCAGTTGGGCATTTGCTGTGTTTACATTGTGTTCATTGCTGACAATATTAAAAAGGTATTTATAATTTTTATTTATTTATTCATTTCAAGCAACTTATGGGCTAACTATTAATGGGCTATAAGTCCATTAATAATATTACACCTTACATAATAATATACATATAAAATGAAAACAGAAATAACTTTTTCTGTGGTTACGAAACTGTTCCACAATAGCGTTGATATAGGTACTCCGCTGGGAGAGTAGTCTTCATGAAAGTAGACGGCGTATTGGTGGAGACTGGAGCCACAAAAACCTTAAGACTTGCGTTTGTGACTCGACCCCAGTTACATCACCCTCAATGTCAGGTTGCTTTTCGTTCTAATGTAGTCGACAATATGCTGTTCCTGCACTAAAGGTACACCCCAAGGCCTCGGTAGAAAATGATGGGATTTGGATGAACCATCGTGGTAAATTCACTAGGAATTAGTCACGATGGTTTCCAGTGTGGCCCGCGTAAAATTGTGAGAAATGTGAGAGTTATATTTTAGAGGTATTATATTTTTATTAAAATTATGAATTCCATTAGTCTTCAGACTAATAGATATTATAATTTTATATTTTAAAGATATATATTTTTAAAATTTATTATTGTCCGGTTCAGTAACTCTAGTAGCTATAATAAACACGCTCATTTGTATGAATTGAAAAATAGTAGTGGTTGTCTCGTTTGTAATTGCTTTAAATGGTGGGAGTGTGGCGTCCTTATATATCGATATGTCACTATTAATCATCGTTACTACTATCGAATGATTGACGCAATCATTCGTGACGTCAGTTGTTAGGTGGTTAAGGTTGTACCACGTGCTTGATGTCTTTATTGATGCATGTATATGGAAATGCATATGTGTGCACTAATGGTTAAATACTAAACCTCAGTGCAGCGTAGACTTTGCATTAAATCTATTAATTTATAATTGTTTCTAGACATTCTTATGTTACTTCTCATTATATTAGCATCATAATTATAGCGATTCAATTATTTCCATATTTTTCCTTAAAACCTCCGGAAATCTCTTATCTATATACAATTACTCTATTTCAGTATCAGTTTTTATTACTTACCATCCATCAGTCCCTTTCAGTTAGTAATAAGAATTAAATTAAGTATAGAAGAATTGACACAGTTAATTATTTTAAAATTAGAAACAGTTCACATTGTAATAAATATACGTCTACCTACTTCTTATGACTATCAATGTTAAACATAAAAGTTAGGGATATCAAGCCAAAAGACCGGTATGATATTTGTGAAACTGTATGTGAGCTAAAATCTGTATATATTTTTTTGTGTTATTTTACAGTGATCACGTAACCGAGCAGATAGCATGATCGTTTTAAAAATTAGTTTGAGGGATATTTCTTTTACCTTATGTATAATAGTCTCTCTGTCTTGCACTTGACTTACCAATATGACTAATCTTGTAGAGGAATGAAAATAAACAAAAATGATCAGTGACAATTTATTCAATTTGAATCAAATTATTAATAGCAGATAGACGATGGACACAATTTGTTTTAAGGATTAATGAAGTATATTCACTTGGTCTCGTGACTGCAGCTAGTGCGACCTAGCCGAAAACGTGGAATACAGCATATACTTTTTAGCCATAAAGGCTCGTCTCCAATTTTTGAATGTCGTAACGAAAATTTGCGTCTAGAATTTGTTTAGACAATTTTTAAGGGGATTGGTTTATTGCTCGGTACTTTAGACCTGTAGCACTACAACGTGCAGCTTTTTTCAGAGTTTGCTACCTAGATCTGTAGGGGACTAAAATTAAAGGATTCTTAGGAGCGATTAACATTATCTCCTCAGCATATTTCCCCAAAGGAGATATTTTGTTTATGCCAAAGTGGGCTACAATCACAGGATGTGTGGCATTTCCTCTTCCATTTGTTTAGGCTAACTGCATTACCATATTATCATATCAATTTATACCGTCTCAAAGCGTAGAGTTACCCTGACCTGAATGTGAATAAACAAGATAAATTAAGTTATTTATAGCACAATTTATAATTGTCGTCGTCGACCAAAACAATATTAAAAAGCTAGAATGATGTATCTGGGTTACCAGTTTTAATGTCATATATAATATAAAATAATTATGAAATGCCACAAATACAGCGTTAACGATATTTCTAAAATAAACGAAGTAACTTTTTTCGATTCGCAAGCCAAAAATAACCAGTAAATAGTTGTCGCACTATTTACTGGTTATTTTTGGCATGCACACTTTATCTAAATTAGTTTTTTTCTCAGCATTGATGTCCTTATGTCGTCTAGCATCTTTGTGAAAAGAGTTGCACAGAGCAAGTAATTACTACGTTTTCATTTACAAATTACGCTGAAAGTTTTATGACCAGCCAGTTATTAGTAGTGAAGATTTGTTAAAGAAATAAGAATTTACAACAAGTAAAGCATTTACTCTGTTCATAGAGAGAAAAATAATAAGAATGTGCAAGTCTTGCATTTCTAAACTGCACATAAGAGGTACAAATTAATTTTTAATAAACAAGACATTAGCTAAATAAAATAATAATTTGAATATCGAATAGACAATGTTTCATAAAAAAAGAGAGAAACTAAAGGAACTGAACTGTTACCATCAAAATAATAGACGGAGTTCATCTTATATATTTTTATCCGGCATATAGTAAATGCATGTGTATCAGTACTGTTTAAAAGGTGGTTTGTTAATAATTTTGTTGCAGATCGTGGACCCACACTATGTTATGAGCATCGAGGTCCACATGGCGATCATATTAATACCATTGCTGGCGTTCAACCTCATCCCCAGTTTGAAACTGCTCGCTCCATTCTCTGCCCTGGCCAATGTGTTAACCTTCATAGGTCTGGGCATTGTTGTCTATTATTTGGTCTCTGGCAAGAAATCCAATGAGCCGTTGGACTTGTGGGGTTCAGCAGCCACTTTCCCACTCTTTTTTGGGACTATCCTTTTTGCCTTGACTGCTGTCGGAGTGGTGAGTTATTACGATAATGTGGAACAATATGACTAACTATGTATGTAATATAACTTTGCATTGCGATACATACATACTGCGTTTGTTGATGATCAATTAGATTATTATAAAATGTGAGTTTTGTATTATATTAGTGAGGGCCTCGGTGATCTAGCTGTTTAACACACTACCTACTAACACGGTATAAACATCTGTACTATGCGAGGTCTGGATGTTTTCTAAGTATGTTCTGTGCGTGTTTATGAAATAAATGTATTTAATTATTTTTATCAGTCGCCTTGTGCCTACGATACTATAATAGTTTGGAACTAGATGGCGCTGTGTGAATAGTTTTTATTATTATTATTGCATCTTGCGAAAGGGCTTGAACAAAGTAGTGACGTATTTTTTTAGTATATTTACATAGTTTCTTATATAGAGAGCTATACAAACTCAGTTGTATGATTCGCAATTGCAACTGTGTAATTCGTCGTTATTTTAGTCTGTTACGAATGATAATTATTAGCAAGAACCTATTTTAATTTAACCCTAAGCCCTTTAATTAAGCCACGTATTCAAAACTAGTTGTATGCTCCAGCGTTGCGTGCGTAGAGTCGTTAAGTTGACATTTTAACGGATGTTTAGTTACTTTTCTAGATATTATAGTTACGGCTGTGCGTACGATTTTGTTTCCTACTGGTTGATCACCCCGGTTTATATGCATAAGAAAATAAGATAAAATTCCTGACTTCAAACTGACTAATTAATTCTGTAAATAATTTTTAACTCATATGTTTAAGTCTGTGCGGTATTTCAATCATTTTCATTCTTACAAAACTTGTTCTGAGAATTACAAACACAAGAATAAAATTATCCAATTTGGCCCAATTGTTTTGGAATTATGTGCGTGCGTAGGTACATGCCGGCGATCCCTAAACCTGCTTAACGATATAGTTACAAGATATTATAATAGGTAAAAAAATTATTATGGTGTATATTATATTTGGTTATGGCGTATAATTGTGATATAAATATTCACTGATACTTTCAGGTGATCGCCCTTGAGAACAACATGAAAACACCTAAGGCGTTTGGCGCTCCATGTGGAGTCCTCAATACTGGGATGTGCATTATTGTGATTTTGTACGTGGCAGTGGGTGCTCTTGGTTACGTGTTCTGCGTGTCAGAATGCAGTGACTCCATCACGCTTGATCTTCCACATGGCCCGTGAGTCGCAATTTTTCTTATAATCGAAATAATAATATTTTACGTTCATTTAGCAAATATTCTTGACATCATCTCGCATTATAAATAGCATCGATTAAATTATGTGTGTACCATGTACATAGGTATATATATACATTCTACAAATTTGATGTTATATATTAATACACAGTCTCACTAATAGAATAAAATAATGAGATATCAATATGGTATTTACTGTAAAATATTTGCTAAGAAGGACTCCACTCAGGATATTGCTGCTGCCGAAACTACAACGCTGATTATCAGCGAATGCCTTAGGGTAAATTGTAGAACAAAAAAAATGAATGTTAAATAAAAAAATTGTAGGTGATTGTCCACATTGTGGTCGACAATTGTCGCCTATATGTTTATGCGTACCGTCACCATAAGTTCACATTCCTGAGGACTCTTTTTCTCTATGATAATGGAATGTTTCATCCGCCTGCGCTAACGGTTTCTGACCGTGTACTGGTGGCGGATGATAAGATGAGCATAAGATCAGGTCAGTTAGCTCATCATGTTAAATTCATCAGGATTTATCACAATGGTTTCTAGGGAGATCTGCGTGGAGGTCAATCTGACATTATATTGTTAGTAACGGGATCATTCGTCCACGTTACTAACAATTTTCTTCCTGAGGTTTAGGTGTCCTTACCCGGTCAATTTACTTCCATATCTCTTTAAACTAATGACAAAGTAAATTGATTGGCAACAGAAATAGTTAAGACAGATCTATCCACAAGACCAACGCAAAAGACTTTGTACGAAGTTACTTTCGATTAAATTAATCTATTAGTTAGATAATATTAATAAAAATTATATCTAACAACTTTTTTTAATAATAATAATAAGTGTATGAAGTCACAGTCATATATAGGTCCTATAATTATATAAAAATACGAGACCTGTATCTCAGTAGACTAGAACTTTCTCTTCGTTTGTGCTTCTACATGGCCTTATACAATAACTAAAACAATGTAAGAAATTGAATGAGTGATCGATACTGTCAATTTGTTTTTCTAATTCTGTCGACCTCAGCTGGCCTTTGGGTCTCAAAAGTAAATATCATATTTTACCTCTGGAAATTGCGTGAATACATCATATCATAAATTGACAGTTTTACATACAACAGTTAATATATTATTTTATGGAACGGAGAGGATTTTTAAAAATATTGTGGTGGACCTCTCTTATCATTTAGGGATATGAAAACTAGTTTACGTTATATATTTAAATCTACTGAATATATACATAATATGTCTGTATGAGTAATGTATGTTAAGCAAAAAAGTTGATAGAAGAGCGGTTTTACCCGCGTCAAATTTCAATAAAAAATATAGCTTATATGTTAATCTGAAGCATAAGCTACATTACTGTAAAGTTTCATTAAAATAGGTTCAGTAGTTTTTGCGTGAAAGAGTAACAAACATCCATATGTAGGTACAAACTTTCGTATTTATAAGATACAAATAATAATTCTTAACATATAAATATAAATTGAATATATTAATTAACTAAATAAACGTATCAGTACCGATCTATAGCATATGCATACCATCCATATAACATGTGTATTATATTATATGCAGCGCATAAAGAGATTGCAATTGAAAAATTGGAGTAGTTGACAATCTAATCACATTCTACCAGTAATTGCCGGAATGGTTATAAATAACATGACACTAGGGAGCGCAACGAAGTCCGTACTTCGGCCATGAGCCCTACTTACGGCCACAGCTCTTAACCTTTTGAATTGCGATCTATTTTCCTATCAATTCTAATAGGTCCCCGCTTGCATTCAATCAAGGCAACGCCAGTCAAAGTCAAATGCATTTGCAATTTATTCATAAAGGAGATATTTTACCACTTATGAACGTCAATTTTCATCACTACTTCCATCCCTACCGTTCAGTTCAGTTTAGCTGCATCAGTTGATAAGAATTGGTTTGAAAGTTCACTGATCATTGTTAACTGGTCATTGCCGAAGACCTGTTCACCCGGTACACTTCGTATCACCTACGATATATTTTAAAAAATATTGGTGAATACAATAATAAAACTCTAAAATATTTTTAAATAATTTAGTATTTTGTATTAAAAGAAACAAATTTACAATTTGAGAAGAATTTACAGTTTTGTAAATTGTTTGATGCATCAGTAATATCATTTATTACTTATGGGTTAACCTGACTGACTTCTAACTTCATATCGTCTTTGATTGGTGCGTGATTGGGGGGACTAATTACATTGGTTATTTACATATACTTTCAGCCTGGCTACGAGTGTGATCATCATGTTTGCGATCGCCATCTTCATCAGCTACGGTCTTCACTGCTACGTTCCGGTGGAGGTGGTGTGGAGGGGCTATCTGCTGCCGCGACTGCAGCGTGCAGGCTCTCAACGGCTGCGGCTCTGGGAGTATGCACTCCGAGTTTCTCTATGCCTTATCACATGTAAGTCCTTTTGTTTTTACCTCATTAGTACAATCAAAATATCTTTATTCGTGTAGGTTTATTACAGACTCTTATTTTATGTCACATCTACCGTCAGTTCGGAGTACTTTCCAGTTAAGAGGAACTAACAAGGAACTCAGCTCTTATTTTTACTTATAATAATCTCATGGTACATTGGTTTCTTTATCCGACTTCGACTCCAATGTCGTGAATTCAAATTCAAATCTGATATGGTACTAATAAGCTGTGTGTATTTATATTTCTGTTTGATTATCCTGTGATGGAAATATTAATATCAAACTAAATTAGAGAGTCCGAAGATTACACGAGCCACTGTACTTAAAAAGGTACATTAAGAAAATGTTTTATCAGTTATAATATTCACCACACCGACGACAGTAGCAGCCTCTGACTACACCGTAAGTGATTCCAGTTATGACATATGTGTGTGGGTACGAGTATAAATATTTTTACTGCAGAATTGGTTGATTTTTACACGAGACAAGTTATTTGTATTTAAGCCATCTGTGGTCTAGCGGTTTAGTACCTTCCGATGGTTGTGAGTTCGATTACTACATAATACAAACATCTGTATTCAGGTGTACCGTTTGTATTTATTTGTTTCGACTTTTTAACGTATATTTTTATGTATTTACAAAAACATGCAGTACAATCCGTTTTAGTTTTTTTTATGGAATTGGAATGGCAAACAAACTGACGGCCCATCTGTTGGTACGCGGTAACCGTCGCCTATATAATAATAATAATCATCATCATCTTTATTTGTCTCAAATAATAAACTAATATAATTGCTGCTTATAATAAAACTTAAAAGTAATAAACGTCTCGTTTATTACTTTTAAGTTTTATTATAAACGGTATATAACTCAGAGAGGGCACTGAATCCACCCTATCTGCTAATATGTTATAGCCAATACAGTAAATTAATAGAATAAAAGATCAACGACGACAATATCACTTAAGTTCTAAACTGTCTTCTATTAACAAAGTAAACATAAAATTATATATATGACCAGCACTACGGACATCACGTTAATATATGATATCAATTATGTGTTGTTATTCCAGAGGACTCAGATGTTATGCCTGTTTATCTCTAACCTGTAATCCTTCAGTTAATTACTGGGCTACAACTTACGTATACTTTGACTTCCTTGATGAACTAGCGGTTTATTAAGCCGCTCTAGATCCATTGAAACGCGGGTTAAATTCCTAGCACAGTACAAACATTTGTATTCATGAGTATGATTGTTTATATTGGTCTGGGTTTTTCTATGTGTATTATGTATTTACAAAAAATGTATCAGTTGTCCTGGGTCATTATTATTATTTGATTTATTGAGAACGAAACTTTGTTTGAACAAGTTTGTTTTCTGCCAACTACCTTTGGGAAGCACTAAGACACATTTGAATAAATAAACATGTTATTTACAAAAAATATAATTATAATAATAAAATACATCTATGGTAAATACGGACATACATTAATAGGTGCTGCTTTTCAATACAATAATCATATTGATAATATTTCCAGTTGTGTTAGCTGTCGCCATTCCACGGTTGGGCCTGTTCATCTCTCTCTTCGGAGCTTTGTGTCTCTCCGCGCTGGGTATCTGTTTCCCTGCCATAATGGAAATCTGCGTGTCTTTCCCTGACAAGTTCGGACCAGGTCGCATAAAACTCCTCAAGGACTTGTTCCTCTTCATCGTTGGTATTGTGGGGCTGGTAGCTGGTACCTATACAGCCTTACTTAGTATAATCAGATCCTTCCAACCACAAGCCACTGAAGCTCAACCACTTCACTCCTAAACAATTAGCGTATTGAATGTGAGCTTGTGTCTGTAAGGGCACGCTTGCATTTACCACCACGTTTCTCTACTAAATTTTTACATACTGCAATAGAATATATTTCATTTTGAAGACAAACCCTGCTATAAACAAAATTAATATTATTATACAACACATCTCATATTTATTTTACAAAATGTATAAAAGTTATTCAAAATTCAAAACGTTTATATGAAACGTGGTGTATTTAGATCATGTATTGATTAAGAGTGTTATTTTTATTATATCGTTTATTACATTAGATTAGATGACATCGTTTCGGTGTATGTTATGTTATATAAACGTGTATTAATTATGCCCTTATTCATAAAAATTAACCTCCTACAAAATCGTTGTTATTGTCATTTTAATACTATTGAAAAAAAAATTGTTTATAAAAAAAAACGTCAAAATAACTGAACAATTAAAACTATGGTAGCTATTTTTATGAATAAGGAGTTTGGAGTTATGTTTATTACAAATATGTATCATTTATTGTAAGACAAGTTATGACATATCTTTAACCCAAATACGGTGAACGTAGAGTAAAAATGATTGAGTGACGATTGTGAAATTACTGGTTTTTGAAGACTGACCAGAAAAGTTTGGGAATTGTCGAGTTACATTCGTATTTGGTTTTTTGCTTTGTTCATTAGTTTTAGGCGTCATGATAAGCAATAATTGCAGCTAAATATTATTATAAAATGCTTTAAGGAATGTAATCTTTATAGTTTTATCTCGATAACTACTGTAGTCTCACGTTTATTTTTAATATTAGAATAGGCATTGGTTGATTATTATATACGCAAATAATTTCAAATGTGGGACAGTTGCTAAGAAAGTTTTGTCGTGTTTCGCGCCAAAATGACGTAATGAGCGCCATTTTTAAATCAAAATCACAGCCCATAGTATCTTAGTAAACACAAGATATATAAGATAGATGCCACTGTAGTATTTAATACCTATTCTATATTGCACACATAGAATATAGAATGTTAACAAAAAGATCGGTAACAAATTTCACACTAGTGATTGGTCGTTGATTTAAATAGTTTTTAAAACATATAATATTCTTGGTTACATAAAGAACATTATGAAGTATATGAATAGTATTTGGTGATTGGTTGAGTGACTATTTATATGCATTCTGAGATTATTGAGTTTAAATTTTTAGTAGTAGATAAATAACACAGAATGTTTATTATAACCCAAACTGTAATATTTGTTATTAAAAATAAGTCAAATTTGTTAATGTTCAATTTAACAATTAATTAAATTAATTAAAATTATTAGTAGACAAACTAGGTCCTTATAAGCTGCCTGTACACGTATTTTTATGCTCGATATTATCCATGCCCGATCAAACGGAGCTATGCGCGCGCGCATTCGTGGCTGATTGCTTGTAGGTTCATAGTTATTTGCGTTACTTTTTGTTTGTTAATTTCATGCATTTACTTTTAAAATTATATTTCAATATTATTGAAATATTATCATCAGTAAACACGTTTAGAAGATATAAATTAACGACGAATATGTTAGCTCTTCGCTCCATAGTGAGCCTTTTTTCAGAGAATATTATTTATTGCAAAATGTGCGAAAGCACTTACCATTAAAGTACGCGGAATTGAGTGAGAGGCGTTTTTATTTTAAGTTTTATAAATGTTAACTTTGTTAAAGTAAAAAAATGCATTTAACAAAGCCAAATACCTAGTTTAATAAGTTAAAACTTGTTTTTCGTATATTTTGTCTAGAAATTCTGCCAAACAAAAGTAACTTCCTAAATGTAAGAATTTACTCTAGTATTGCTACTTGTATTGATAATTGTAACATGTTATACTTTGTTGCTATTATTAGTTCAGGTTCATATTATCAGGTTTAGACCGACGGCCCGTACTAACGGCATACTTTAATTGGCATACTGATTGCTACGCCCCACCATCTTTTGAAATACGCTAATCGAACGCGGTCTTAGGTACGGACCGTTGGTTCTAAATGTGAAAATGAGAAACCACTGTTATAAATAGATAAGCATTACTGTTCCGTACATTTTGTCTAGAAATTATGCCAACCAGATGTAACTTCCCAAATGTCTAGAATAAATCTCTATTTGTCTTGATAATTTTAAAATATTAAAGTTAGTTGCTATTATTAGTTCAGGATCACATTATTAGGTGCAGAACGGACGGCTCGTACCAACGACATAGTTCGATTGGCGCATTAGTTGCTACGCCCCGCCATCTTTGTAAATGCGCCAATCGAACGTCTTGGATATGAGTCGTCCGGTTTGAACCTGATAATGTGAGCCCATTCTTTTAGGTATGCTTTACTATAGATTTATTGTTAATTGTATAATATCTTTAGATCATTGAGCGTACGTTCAGCGAGCGTTAGTACGTGCAGTGAATATCGTAAAGATATTGTGGTTATACAGGTTGCTCTGGAATTCGATTACATAGCACAGTGGTAATTAGAATTAAATTGTAAATTGTAAAACATATTTAATGAGTATGAAAATAGTTGTTTGAAACACTACACTACATAATCGATTCGTTTGGGCTACATAATTGAACTCCAAAAAGCAGCTAGTATAAGAGGGTTTTATAAGAGGGCAGGCATTTCTCTTTGATTGTAATGTTTGATTAGGTTAACCTAATAAGGAATATATTAAGAATTGTGTAAATCTAACAATAGTACTGTCAGCATTAAAAAACAGGGTAGATAAATGTTGTAAGGAAACACAAATTATTGTAACCTACTATTTAATCTTTTATATTAATCACCAAATATATACTCTCGTTTAGTAAGAACATATACTCTTTACGTATAAGTTGCTGCATGTATATTTTTTTTATTTTATTAAGTAACAATAAATTCATTATGTAATAAACAGCTTTTAAAAAAAACAATGAGTTTTTAAAGTATTACATACTTTGTAAACCCAGTAATATTACAATTATACGTAGGTTATACTTGTAACTTGTAAAAAAATATGTAATTACTGTCATATATTCTCAGAGAGACCTTCTACATATATCATGTATGGTGAATGAGGTAGGAATAGAATGGCTGTAAAAAATATATATGTGTTCCTAAGGTATACCTTGGAAATTAATAAGGACACTTTACTCCTTAATAAGGAATCTTTATAGGTTGGAAGGTGGTCCTACCACTGTTTAAAATTTGTCATGCGACTGAGAGACGTAACTGATTGGATATTATTATATTGTTGAAAGAAAGCATGTGCTCTCATAAAAACTCAATTGAATGCAAAACTGGGATCATATGTGCTATAGTACATATTTAAAATAGTCATTGTTCGAACGTATGAAATTGACGCCTGACATTGACGACGCATCAAAACTGACGTCGAGATGAATAAACGCAAGTTTTTATGGTATAATACAAACTGAATTATTCATATATTAGGTAGTGTTTGGATTAAGCTATATCTACATAAAGTTAGTTGAGTATATTACGCCCCTAAGTCTGAACAACAGAAAATGACCAAGTTTAGAATCATAATAAAGAACCGTTAAAATCGGACCAATTTGTAAGAACTTAAGTGTACATCTGGACAGAATGTTCGACGCTTCGTCAATGCCAGAGACCTTAAACTTACTGATTGTAGTATAGGTAGTAGTAATGTAGTGATCAGTATTGTAGTATGTAGTTTATTATTTTGGGTCCCACTGGACCCTTAAACCTTATCTTCCCACTTGCCCCTCGAATTATTTTATAGATCCAAACATTAGCTTTATGTAATAAAACAAAAGTAGACTCTACAGGCAGGGGATGCCAACCGTACATACTAGAATACCGTACATATTAAAATTGTATGTGTCATACGTAATAGCGAATGATACATAATGCTATTATATAGGGCGAGTATGTACCATATAATACAGTTTTACATGTCTGTCAGCTACGCGGGGCAAGTGCTTGGGTACTAAGTGTTCGCAACCGAATACTAAGCAATCGATGGCCAGACTTTACCAATAAGCCTTTGTACACTATAAACGTGATATATATAAAAGGAAACGGGGTAATATATAAATATCATGATATTATTGAAGAGCTCTTGATGTTCGTTATAGCGCCGAAATATCGGGAGCTCTTTAATATTATCACGGTAAATATCCCGCACATATAATGTAACGTAACATTTGTCGATAAAAAACACTCTTTTGTTGATAGGTATTTTTTAAAGCAACATTATGTACCTACACCGTTCACGTATAATTCTGTATTTTATGGACTAAGAGATTAAAGTTGGGTCATCAATTTAACTGTACTGTGTAATAATTTACTTGTTAATATAGTAATTCACGACTGAAAATTGTTCGTAAATTGTGCAAAGAATACAAATTAGTCGCCTTATATCTACATACCTATTAGTAAAATAATAAGATTTAATAGTAAAAAAATAATTACTATTTACTCTACAGATGTTGGCATTAACATATACCTATACTCGTATATTGTTATATGACACTAACAAACGGAAGTTAACAAAGTTTGCAATTCCAACTAATTTACCCAAAATATTGTAATTGTATAAATTTATATATTACATTTGAAACCTATACTTATATGTATTTAATTAAGATGTTTTCTAACTTTGGATTTAATATCACAGGCAGAGGCATGACGTCTTAGTGCTCAAAAGTGCCAGTATATACAAATAATGTACGGTTGTTGTTTTTCATCAAGTAAATAAGTAGTTTGCCTAATAAGTTTAATAAAAGAAATAGCTTCCAAAGTCCTCCAAAAAATTTATATTTAAAAACTAAATCTATAGCTGCCTTTATACGACTCGTACTTTTACCCGCGATTTAGCGAGGGAAAGACAGTGCGGATGGCATTTTACTATTTCTCGTGTCGACTCCTTCGCATGTGATAGAGTGTATGTTTCATTTCAAAACATTTTTTTTATTTGACATGTTGTATTTTATAAAGACACGTTTAAGATTTATAAATTATCAATAACTCTGCAATTGTCTTTACTCCATATTCAATTATAGTCCACCATTACGCAATTATAATTACTTATTAAAAATGCGCCAAAGTACGCAGGACTGCGCAATCTGGCGGCACAATTTTTAGTTCTCTTTGTCTACATTCATTCATGCACATTCTTTTCTGGGTGAAAGAACGTACGTGTAAAAGCAGTTAATTATCGAATAATACGATGCTATGGTATTGTACCAGAATGCACGCATTTTAAGCGGCTATCCTTAGCATTATGGCCGAGATTTTGACATTTTGGGATCCTAGTGCTCTTACAGACTTACCCAAACGCAGTTCTACTACATATTGTTAATTTATAAGAATTATAAATTATAACTGTCATTGTTAATTGGACGATTTTGACATATTTTGTTCATGAATTAAACTTTGTATGGCTTATTGTTGCTTTTATTAACCCCTCATTAGTTTTCTGTGAGAACGATACAGTGTACAATAATTACCCTACAAAAAATATTTATATTTTACTAGCTGTGCCCGCATTTTTTCCTGAGCGAAATTTATAGCCTATATGTTATTCTGATGTATAAGCTATATTACTGTAAAGTTTCATCAAATCCGTTTGGTAGTTTTTGCGTGAAAGAGTAATATCCATCCATACTCATAAACTTTCGCGTTTATAATATTAAAATAATAAGATAACAAAAAAATACCAATTAAGTTTCTGTCAGTTCTTACAAACTGAAGAAGCAGTCTGAAGGACGGCAGAGATAGTGATTTTGTTACATTCATCATTTATTCATTACTTATCATTCATTCATGATGAGCCTGCGCTCCAAATGAGTGGTGGAAGCAAAAAAATATCGACTATTCAAGTGCTTTTATTAAGTGTATTACTTTTTCTATGTAATGATAACATCGATACTATTGATACATTTTAGGTTAGTAGTAACCAGGGTTTTGTCATATCACAACTCAATTAAAACAATACCATTTAAACTTTTCTTTTTTAGAAATAATACAGGCGATATTAGTCCGCTGGTTATGGCAACGGATGATTGGTACTATAGGCATAACGTGATAACGTGACGTCCGTAGTGCTGTTCATATACACAGTCATATGAAGGCGGTTAACGTTTACCGTCCGCTTGTTTGCCGTTTCAATTACAAGAAAGAATAATAATGTTTCTTTATACACATATATATTACATTCAACGGCCTAGGTGGTCTAACGGTTTAGCACGCTGCCCTACTTCCAATGGTTGAGTGTTCGATTCTGCAAGATACAAACATTTAAATTCAGGAGTATAATTGTTTGTATCGCTCTTTGTCTTTTCTATATATAATATTGTATTTATATTAGTCGACTAGTATCCATAATAAAAGCTCTGCTTAGCTGATTGGAACTAGATGGCGCTGTGTGAATTTTCCGCAGTTGTTATTACTATTTAATTTCCCATCAATTCTTATAAGGCGATCTCAACTCTTATAAAATTTAATGTCAATTGCTTTGTTTAGTTATACTTACGGATTGTGGGGTTCAGTGTCACTGTCAACCACTGCAGTAGTCAATGTAACTCCAGACCCGATCGTCATCATATTGGGTTATCATAGTGTAGATAAGTTACCTTACATGTAACTGTGCAACATCAGTGTGGCTTTTGATGCCGTTACCAAAAGGTAGAATCGACAGTACATATCATATATGAGCATAGATTATATATTAGTAGAAGGAGCCTGTATAATATCTGGATCCTTTTGTCTCACTTAATAATGCTGTCTACCTTATTTTGCATGATGAGTTCCGGCTTGAGCTTTAAATCCGGATGGTATATAATTATCATATTAATTGATATTTTATAATCCTACATAACTTTAGACGGTATTTAGATATGAATATGTACCGTTTGTTCTACCATTCCGTAACAACATATCCGAGCACAAGTGCATCGCAGTGGGTGAGGTAAATGAAAACTTCATGTTGTGTGTAAGGTACTTTTTTACCACGATTTATTACATTAAACACCGATCGAGAAAGGTATCAGCGATTGAGAATACCTATTGGAGGCCATGAGGTCGCTAGCCGCTAATTTTAATAGAGTACTTACTGGTAACTACAGTCCATGTTATATTACTAGGCAGCGGCACCCCGCGACTGCAAGATCGTCCGGCCGCGCGACCACGCGACACCGCAACAGCGATACCACGTGGCCGCGCGCCCGCGACCCCACACACACATAAAAAAAAAATAAACATAAATACAACAATTAACGTTTATTTCAATCCATAGAACCATATAAATTAAAATCAAACAAAATACTACTCGTACATAAAATCAATATGGTTTTATGTTGTTGCAATTTACAGAAGTTAACATTAGCTAATGGCCTCGTCAGTGAGGGCATGTTATAAATAAGTAATAAATAAGGAGACAGAGAGGAGAGGCGCGAGGTTGGGGTGCGGCGCGGTCGACGGCCGTGGGGCAGCGCTAGTGTTGCCAGCTAATCGGTATCTGTTCATTATCCATCGATAGTTCGATTAGAGTGCAATACAGTGCCAAATTATTTTAAAATAACATGGACAATCGATAACATCGATATAATCGATCACATCGCGACAATATAAGGGAGCAAGTAAATCTAATCCAAAGTATCGTACATCAAGTTGATCTTACATGATAAAATTACATAAAGCCTTTCATTGATTATATCGAATCAACCGATAGTCCTGTGGATTTTAGTTAATGAGGTTGAACAGTATCGATCAAATGAAAATTGATTATTAGGCAACACTAGAGTGGGGCTGGGTGGAGATGCCCCGGCGCCGGGCGTCGGACGGGGAGGACTTGGGCCTGGGTTTGGGGTGGGGCGGGGTCGGTTCGGGCGACAGCGGGACGGGCGAGGGAGGGGGCGGGATGGGGCCGGCTCCAGCACCGACAGCGGCGACCGGAGCCGCGTTGAACCCGCCCCGACCATTTTACAGACACTTCACTTATCAAGTTAGGTAAACTTTACCACAATGCTCTTACATACGACTCCTTCTTATCACGATACCTTAATAATATAATATCATTATACCCATCTTACATTTTTCGGAGAAACAATTATATCATGTATGTATAGGTACTAATATACGCAATTGCATAATCCAATGTATATACTTTTTAACAAACAAGATGGAATATCAAATGCCGCACTGCGCGGCCGATTAACATTAAGTTATAATACATAATATAATATCGTTTGATATGAAACAGTGCATTTCCAAATTTAACCTTCACACCTTAGTAGAATCCCTCACATGTAAATCTTTATAGAAAAAACATTTTATTGTTCTCGCTTTGTATCCATAAAATACTTTCAAATGCAACAACTTCTTAGTCTTAGTTATAAACATTAATTTTTCAATTCATTAAACATTCAATTGACTCATTTATCAACGACAAAAACCTACAAAAATATATTATAACAATAGCACGAGTCAAGTAGAGTGCGGAGGAAACGTCGAGGAGACGTAGTCAGTGCGTATGGACGCGGTCGCGATGACCCGTCCACGATGTGCGGGCCCCGCCGCCCACGCCGCCGTTCGCAGAGCCAAGCCCGACCAACTCATAGACAACGGCTTCGTCTCCATCGCACGCATGGGAGAGACTGACACGCAGCGTACTGCTGTCCTGTTCTATCTCACGCGTGCGACAGTCGTTGTACCGGTGTGTGAGGGTTAGTTGCCACGAATCCAGGCTCTCCGAGCGGCCGGCGAACGCGGCAGCCCACACTCCCTGGGAGTGGTGTTGACGCGGGGCGCCGACTATCTCTATATGCAGGTTCTACCCATATCGATACAATAACGCGAATTTCTTTACAACTAAAAAAAAAATTATATAAACTTCCAAAAATTTTATAACGAAAATAGACTAATAACAACTACACTACGGAATCTACGAACTACTTAAACTATCCACTAAGTAAATTTGAAACGACACTAGTGTTATCGCTCTCTACGGAAACGACAGAGGGTATGCAGGGGGCAGGGGATCGCGCGAGGCGGCCCTGGGTCCCTTTGGAGATTTAATTTCATACGGAACAATCCTACGAAGCGAGCTAGGGGCACGAGGGTAACAGTAAAACGTGGCGGCAACCGACGGCTCATAGGAGAAACTTCCAGAAAAGGGGGACGGACGGGGACAGAGTTTACAACAGCGACGTTTTTATAATACAGATTTCGAGTAGCATCGAATGTCCGGGACGCGGCCGGGGCCGCCCCGAGGCCATATTAAAACTATCTATATACAGACGCAGCCACTACATTTGCGAATGCGTACGCGAGCCACTTGAGCAAACTTGCGTGCGGCGGCCTGCTGCCACCGGTGCCGGTATCAATATAAATATTCAACAACATTAACTTATTATAATATCCGCACTCGGGTCGGACAGTCGCCGCGGACGCGACACGGACGCGACGCGGGCGCGGCGCACACGCGACGCACACGCGGCGCACGCTCAGGACGGGACACCACAATCACCATTCAAAATAACAATTTTCCATATAATTTGGTCCATACGTCGTTGACTAACCCTGTTGAGTGTCGAACTGTGTCCGAGTGAAGGAATTAGAGACGACGACAGATCAAAGCTCGAGCGGAACTTTGGTTAAGATTCACCTATTAAACTAACTAGATACACTTACGGTAACTGCGATATAATCCTATCTACGAACAACATGCATCACCTGAACACTTATCGATTCGCTGAATGAGCAGCACTACAACACGATGTAATATAATGTGGTTATTACTACTATTAATCATAGAAAGTAGAATGGAACGATACCAGCAAATCGATAGCATTACAAGAGAATAGAGGTGAGTGCTGACGAGTGATGGCCTCGCCACCACATCCACAGGAGATGAAAAGTACAAAATGTTTTGTCATACTAACAGGTGCATCAAACTCTAAGTATAGTTTTAGAAACATAACAACAGTTAAAGTTCTTAAAATAACGAAACAAGTAGAGTACTGTGTCCGGAGTCCGGAGGAGGTGGGCGGCGCGGGGAATGGTCCGCGCGCGCTCGCCGATGTTGCGCCCGTGACCTGCAACAATCAATACATTCCATAATTCATATAAAAATATACTTTGGTTCTATAAGAGGTGCTCCCTTTATTCGCTTAAAATGGGCAAAGATGTGACATAAGATATACAAACAAAGTTTGGTCATTTCACTAATTATTTATACGGATTTTTAAATTTTGTAGCACTCATTAATTTTGGACTACTGAGAAGTATGAGAACTAGACAAAATGTTCTAAGATGTGTCTTTAGTTACTCAATTGCCATTCGGAATCTTTGTGCTTTCTAAAGGTTTGTACGCCATTTATTTAGGCCAGGTTCTAACAAAACAACGATTCATAACGGCGTTTGAAATAGGCAGTGGAGGTATTCACGTAGGTGATATTAAACAATCGTCATTTACTAAATATTCCATCATAAATATAAATATAATAAGTTAGTACTCACATGTCGTGTGGCGTGTTTGTGCTATGCGGGTGTTTGGGATAGGCTGCCTATACGTCCGCGAACTTTGATAACTTCTCACGCAGAATGTGGTTTTCTTTCTTAAGCAGCTCTACTTCCTGTCGTAGCCCCATGTTCTGAATTATTAATAATATATTGCTTTATTATATTAATTAATACGTGTTTGTATTGATTAAGTAATTTCGATTATGATAATAAAATAAAATAATATTTAACTACGCGACGCGTGTGCTATTGCGATGATTATCGTGACACTTAAAAGCATCGCACTAATGTCCCGGAGTTTTTCATGCCCCACCAGCAAATTTATCTTCCTCACAAGTTCTTAACTTTCTATATAAACCAATAAGGGTGTCAAAGTGGAGACGATTGTTAATAATGACGACTGCTGATCCATAGCCATAGATAGCAGTATAGATGGGAATTGTACACGATGCTTTCTAAAAGTATCGAAGTAAAGATACGTGGTCTAATGAAAAGCATATGAAGCTGACTAACTTGACTGACTCCATCCTGGTCTGATCCTGCCGACGACGATGCTAGTGAATATCGTAGGATGAACTACCATTCTATAATCGTCTTTCAAAAACACTGGATCGAAATATGGGTGAGTACAGTGATGCTCATCCGTTATACTGGTGAATGGATGCTGCTTCTGGTCTGCTCTGACTGATTTATTTCGTTACTCCAGTCATTATATATTTATATAAACTCTGCTAGAAATAGCAAATCTAACCTCTTTCTCAAGATAGCCAGCCCGCAGCGCGATCTGGTTCTCCTTCATGCGGCGCGCGTCGCGGGACCGCTTGGCTGCCATGTTGTTCTTCCGCCGGCGCGCCCAGTACTTGTCATCTTTGAGATCGTCTGGCACGAACTGCCGACGACGTCGATATGGGGTTAGGACGCCGCGCCACACACTCAAACCACCCTTCACCCGCCAGTGGAACACAATAGGCGTTTACGGCTAGTGCTACCACATCCACCCGTACGGTTACACGTGACTTGAGATACAATTACTGGCATAATAGCATAATTGACTGTCTTAACCGATTTAAAACTTAATGAGCATTAATTTGACTCTAATGAATTAGTGCTAGGTAAACACACATTTAAACTTAAAAAAGTAATGTTACAACTACATCATTTAAATGAGCAACACGCTGGTTTTTGCACTTTCTTCTTGTGATGAGTCAGTTTTCTGAATGACTATTCAAAAGTGCTTAAATGTAAATTTATTTGAATAAAGAATTTTCTATTCTATTCTATTCAAACGGAGAGTTTTTTTATGCCTAATAATACTTAAACCAGTCTACTACTAAATGTAAGTTAAAGCACTTCGTCAGATCAGTGATATGCTCTATTTTCTATTGTGATATTGTAAGATTACTTAGGTTATGAGGGGTCTCAGTATCGAGTATTTTCTGCAAGAAATGAATTCGCAACGAATAAACAGGATTATACCCGTATTGCAGCTCTTTTATGGTATCACCGAAGATTTATATCTTAGATAGGCAGAAAATATTTACTTCAATTATATAACATAGAATATATATATCATAGATATATTTGTTATACATTGGATAATCGAGCTTATCTTGTAAGAGTTCTTTCAATTGTTGTGGAAAAAGTGCAGTTTATTCAAACTAAATCTTCTAATATCGTTGTTACTACTATCACCTACGAGTATATGACGTAACTACAACAGTAAGACGAGATATAGTTTCCATTATAGTGCTCATTGAATAGATTTTAGTAGTAGACCTGGTCTGAAGAGTTTAACGCTATTCCACATAAAATAGATACACCAAAATTATGCAAAGATACAAATACCTAATAGTAGTCTATTATTTATTTAAAACTTGAAACCACTTTAAACGATCGATCCTACCAATCATTCAATGATTTTGTTTCAATCGCATTTCAATTGAGTTGACTTGTTAAGGTGATGCATTGTATATTTGTATCAATGTGTAATAAAAGTTTTTAATCGGTATTCTAGAATTGATCTATTTAAACACAAATATTGAAAAATACAAATAAATTAATATTGCTTAATATAGGTATGTTGATTTTAATGCAGATTAAATTAACCAGCAATTATTACATGTACATGTATGTTGTATATACCGTATTTTTAACACGATGTGCGACGTTTCGCGTATTTAAATTGTCTGATAGTTTGATAGTAACATAAAATATTTATTCTTTTCTATAATCGTCGCCAAATTAGAGTTACAAGTTTTCGAATATGCGACGCAAGTAGTCACAATAAATAAAAATTATGACTGCGAAAGGAACAATAATATATGTATGTATATTATACTAAAATGTTATGAATTTTAGGTACATATTATTGTCTAAAATACGTATAATAATTAATATATAGGGTTTTCATTTACTTAGTAAAAATTCGTAATTCTATATTGGACCGATTAGGATTTTCGTTATTAAGATATGACAGTCAATTTATATGCACTATATAATTACATTTTCAATTAAATTTATATTGTTATTCTATCTCATTCACGTGTCCGCAACCCTTTAAATATATTTACAAGCTTTGTTTTTATTTCATCCAAATAAGTATTTCCATTAACTTTGATTGAAGTGTTGGTGGACTTTTGCGGTATTTATAAAGGGGGGGGGGGGGGGCAATAGATTTATTTTTATACGCAAAATTATATAGATATATGATAAATTTTCTTTAGCAAGTTTAAATAAAATTCAAAATAATGTTGTTTATCAATAATGTTACTACAGTTTTCATACCATATTTAATAGCATCAATGAATTGCATAATGAAATGAGTATTACATACATATACTAACTCCAATGTGATATACAGACAATTTATTTTATGAAATGACTTGTAAACCATGAACGGATTTGGGTACATTGTACATTGTTTTGTGAATTACAATATTGGAAAATTGTTCAGTATTCGCAAACAATCAACCAACTCTGTATTTCTGGAGCCGACAGTGGAGATGTGGCACTAGCGATCAACTGAACGAAGTGGCAACAAGGCTTTGTTTATGTATCGTGTTGCTACAGAATTCGTCCCCATACGCCAAAGCCTAAGTGGCTTGGAGTGGAATGGACAGTGCGGTTTCAAAATAGCTTTCTCCTATGTAGACTTAGATTTTGGAATGTACTACCTGCAGAGATTTTCAATAAAGACTAAGTATTTCCAAGGTTTTTTACTAAAAACTAATATATTATGTATGTCAAAACTAATTTATGATTATTGTGATAGTAAAAAATTTTCAGTTAGGAGTATATTATAATCGCCAAATTTGAATTATGTGACGGGATGTCAATAGCAGCAATAAATACCTATAGAAAAAATATTTTTTTCTATATTTATTGCGGTAAGTTTTTATACTTAAAATTTAATTTGTTTTTTTTAACTATTCTAAGGCCGCCGTTGGCCTTTACAGCTTCACCGAGTAATAGGGTGCAAGTGCAGATGCCACTCCAAACTCTTGGAAAGACTTATAGACTGGCAGAAGGTCTACTTCTGCCTGACGGAGTCAGCTCGGCTTAGGCCGTCGTAATTCCGATTCCCCTTTGGATTAGGCAAGGGATCGATCGGAGTGGATAAAAAATCTTTTTGGCATGATAAGTTTATTTAATAATTTATTTTCTATTTTCCCACATTTATCACGAGTATTATACCCGCAAATCGCCATTTTTTTTATCACACAATTGGTTTAATAAGATAACGGTCCATTGATTTGTAAGTGGTAAACATGGACAACAAAAGTGACATTTATGTTATCCTGTGACGTCGGAGGCAACACTCATAAATTGCGTACCTTTTCTATGTATATTACGTATATATATATACACATATATAGGACGTCACAAAATACATTGTAACTCTCAGTTAACTTTTATCAGTACAAAAATACTACCGCACCATTTCCATAACACCCGGTATACTTAAATTGAAATAGATAAACCAACACCATCTCTTTATGTACATTGAATATACAGAGCATATAACTAAGTTGCAAATTACACTATCATAGATAAAGGATCATATTTTTCATATTACAGGAAAACTAAATAAGCTAACCACGCCTGGAGGTTACCGTCGCCTACATACATGTGTAGCATCACGGGTATCACTGAAAAATTCGTGACATTCGTATTACTTTCCACGAGGTGCCATCTCTGAGAAGTAAGTTGTTATTTGAAGAATACGAAGCTTTGATGGTCTTTTATTAACAGTATATTCTTTAATGTTAAGAACTATATTAAACAATCTATATATGATCATATATATATGACAGTGTAATATTCTTATCAGTAAAGTGTGCAGTGCAATACATTGTTCGTTGTGCAGATGTACTTGATTTACCCTTGTACTAGATGTTAGTTAATATTTGATGAAGCATTAATAAGCTGGTGTCATGCTGTGTAAAGCTAGATTCACATGTTTTTATATTAACTAACTTCTCCAACTTCTCCGCCACATATGAAGAATATATTTATCATTATTTTCTTCCGGCTGGAGTTAGAAGATAACATTTAGAGACGTAATTAGAAAACATATTTGTTACTCCTAATAAAAAACCCCAGGTAGCAATGATTTGACAATAAAGTTTAATTACTGTTCCCTCTATATATTTTAACCGTTCTGGGTGTGCCTTTAACAAAAATAAATAATTATTTTTAACCCAATGGTGATAGTGAAAATATTATCAATTATAGTACTTCTTCCATATTCGAAGGGGTTTAAAAAAAGATAATATCTTTCTCTAATTAACTGTAATGATGGAAATAAAAAATAAACTTAATTCCTTGAATATTGTGGGAGTAGTGGTCTCTAAACTAAATTGAACTCAAAAGTCCTCAATTAAAATTGTCCGACACCAAAACCTTTTGTGTGTCGTCGATAATGAAAATAATATCAAATTAAATTAATCCGATAGACGGCTGTTCGATATATTCTAAACCGAGTAAAATCTGTAAAAGTAAAATTCTCGTGTCACACTGTAAGTTTCCATACTAATGAACACACTAAAACGTTTTAACTGATTTTGATGAAGTTTTATATGTATACTTAGGTAGGTCTGAGAATGGGATGTTATCTATTTTTTAATATCAACAAATGATATGGGTTGTTCCAATTTTGTTCATTTCAAAATACATACAACCCTAAAATGTTCACCGCCCTCTCCCCGTCTGCCCTATTTTTCTACTATCTACCCCTATTTTTTACTAGCACTATTAATTTATATGGCAGAACAAGGTTTGCCAGAGCAGCTAGCATATCATAATATATTTACGAACTGAACTTGCTATGAAATATTTAGTTTTTCCCGACAATCATTAATATAAATTAATACAAAATGAACATAAGTTTTAAAACTAATGGATATAAATATATTTAAATCTTAGTTATATAACGTAACTTCTTTTGGTTCCCATAGGTAAAATGTATGATAATTGTAATATTATATCACTGTTTAGTTACCGTTTATATTTCTATGTTTTCATTAGTTGCATATTTGTAGCTACCTATGTGTGAATCTAGCTTAATGTAATTCTAAACATGTTGTGTGGGTGTGTGTGTGTGTATGCATATATACAGGAATAGGCACAAATCAGCATATTACTAACACGTTGATATTATATAAACAATAATAAATGACAGTTATTATTGTTTCAAATTTCTAAAAGTACCTGACAATACATGAATTCAATACATATTGTTATTCAAAACTGCATCCCGTGGGAATGAAGTGTCCGTGAAGAATACATATACGTTACATGAACATTTACTATGTATTTACGTATACACTTTATTATATAGTATGTCAGTCAGATGCCTAGTAACTACAACACAAACTATGTTTAGTTTGGTATGTAGATGGTATTATAAGTTGTCCTTGGCTATTTGTTAATGAATTTATTAAGTCATTAAATATTTACTTTATTTATTTACTAGTACAAATGCATTTAAAGTATTATATTTATATTCTTATCTTATTTAATTAAAGAATAAATCTATGTAACTTATATTGGTACGATTAGTACTGATTGCAGCTGTATGTGGTTTAAATTTATAATTGAATCTCTGGTGATGTATACATCGATAACAAAGTATTATACTCTTAATTACAAATATACTCAATAAAAAATGTAGATAAGTCAACTGTTATATTGACTTTAGGTACTCTTGCCTATATCCCTAAGAATAAGAGGACATCTCTATACGGAATTAAAAGCCTAAACGTATTTACTTGCTTTCAATATGTCACTAAAATCTGTTAGGAAAATGTGACGATGATATAAATAAAAAAAAACTCGACAAGCCTCCTTTGACGGGCAGCAATACTAAGACAACAGGAAAAACGTGAAGTAAAAAACAAGTCGAGATGTTCAAGTGTACCGTCTGTTTCTGTCTGTTACAAATTGCGCATAAACTAAGTAGTAATGTAAAACCCCAATATAGTTTCTTTGTGTAACTTAAATTGGACCTCTCTGGATGAACATGTAACGCCTCCTACGTTTCAACTTATTCCGTGAGAACGAACGAGTCATGCATTGGATTTTTACTGCCATATCTCACCGTTCAACTGCTTAGAACACAAGCAGCTTGGTAGTAGATATAAGTAATGCTCTTATACAACATGTAATATAAAGCATGTCAGTCAGTTATCTAGTAATCATTATACAAGCTATATTTAGTTCGGTATATAGATGGCATTATAGGATTATTATATCCTTGGCTATTTATTAATGAATTTATGATAGAGAGCAGTGGAAGAGAATGACATACTGCGCCGACCCCAAATAATGGGATAAGGGCAAGGCAATGATGACGATGATTTATTAATGAATTTATCAAGTCATTAAATATTTACTAGTACAAATACAATTAAAGTATTATATATTCCCCTATGTTAATTAATGAATGAATCAATCTGCCGTACCAATCAGCGATGTGTGGAAATCGTATATTCTACACACATTCTATGCATCTAACTTTACGTCCTGCAATTCAATCATTAAAAAGGTTGAGTACTAATTTATATTTATAATTGAATTTCCGTTAATGTAATCATTTATAACAGAGTCCTGTACAATTAATCCAAATCTAAACAATAAAAAAATGTAGACAGGTCAAGTGATGCATTTACTATGATACTGATGAGACTCTTGTATGAAGTCCACTAGAGTTGAAGTAACAAAAAACAGATAAATATGCTGTGCCTATGTGTTAGAATGTGTAATTGTAGTGTGTACGTGCGAACATCGCCGCTCCCCGCAGGCAGTCGCATCATGCCGCTAGGAATGATCAGCGCACTAACTTCATTTACCTGTTTCCGGGACTTCTTGATCATCGGCTGCGGCTTCAGCTCCTCATCGGAGAAAGCGCGCGTCCGGGGATCGAAGTCACGGCCCGACGACGCCATTGAAAATGCTGTAACGTCACAACGGCGTTGCATTGACGTGCTTTTGCATATTTTGTTAAGTATTTTTTATGAAAGTGGAATGGTAAACAATCCTTCTGCAAATGTGATAATCGTCGTCTATATACATGTCGAGTACCACTCTCATTTGTTTCAATTACTGTTGGCTAAATAGGTATATTTCAGTAGATTACAACTTATTAGTAATAAAGCCACTTGACACCGAAGACAGTCTAATTGAACGAGTATAAGGAAAATAATTATCGCAGTTTATAAAATTGAACACTCACTGGAGTCTGCGGGCGAGAGCGGCGGGTTGATGGTGTCCGGGCTCATGCAGTCGGAGGGGGAGGGCGATCGCTCGCGCTTGGTGACCGGCGCTTGGAGGCCGAGCGCGAGTCCCGCGCCTGGCCCGAACGCCGACCCACCGAGGTGAGCGCCACCCAGTCCTTCGCCCGGCATGCCATTCTCGGACAGGAACTCATCTAGGTCCACGTACTGCAAACCAATAAAGACCCAGGTCACACGCCGCCAGCCGGCTGCGGGGGCGCGAGTCCCGTACAGCAAACGCTATGCGAATTGCGATTACCAGTGGGTGTGACCATACATATGGCGATAGGACGCCCAGCAGAAGACAGTGACAATCGCATTGGCAATTCGCATAAACATAATTTGTAAACTAAACTTAAGTAAACTGTAATAGTAAAAGAATAGGTGAGGAGGTGAAGGGAGATGGACGTGTGGATTGCGTGGACAGTGGGTGGGAGCACGGAAGCAACTCTATTACCTAATGCGGGTGACAGCGGTTAGGAAGCCGGTGAGAGACGCACACGACACTCAACACGCAGTAGGTAATAAAGTGGCGATTACTGACTTCTTGTACCTTGAGATCAGGGTCGTACGGCAGCGTCTTCTCCCAGAGGTTAGGGCCGAGGAAGGCGGCCTGCGCGTCCCACAGCTCGTTATCATCTTTCTTGTCCTCAAGCACATCTTTATTGTTCACCGACTTGCCTGCAACAAGAAGGGCATGATGCCGTGATTGTGGCCGGCTGCGGCACGCGCGTGCCCCCCGCGCAGGCTAACACTGACACAAGCCAACGGTGCCAGGCACTCTCTATGCGGCTTTGCCGCGGTACTGCGGCAGATTTGCCACGTTACTGGACAGATTTGCCACGTTACTGCGACATATTTGGACCCTACTGAGGCAGATTTGTCTCAAAAAAAAATCATGACTCGAACTTTGCACAAGCTTGGCACTCGAAGTCTACTTGGCATGTACGGTTTAGTCCCAGCACAGTTGTTGTCAGTATTGTCCTGTGATAGTCGCGTCACACACACTAAAAAAAGGGATGCAAATAACAAATAAAAAAAACCATCGCGTAGAGCGTATAATGTACATGAATAAAGAATGTGATGATTTTGATTCGCAATGGCAAGAAATGGAAAGAATAAAACAGTAATTGAATGTAATATTTTTTTATAGTACATTAAAATTGTTAATATTGTTGCTATTAAGTATTTTAAATTCGATGAAATCTGAAAAATGTTCCAGTTTATTAGAATAATGATATTATTCTTTTATAAAAATAGATTACATGACAAATATGATTATTACTGTTTTTGAAAGATATAAAAAATTAATGAATTGAACTATATTTTTAAAATAATGCCCGTGGTTCTACATACCACTGGTATAGTTTTAAATATTTCACAGTCTGCAAAGTGCATTTTTCCAGATGAGCCTAGGCTATATAGTATGTACATTGTATAACGAGTCTGGTGGATAGTAAAATATTTGGTTATATGGTAAATAAAATGTAATTTTAAAGTATAGTTTGCGGTTGTGACGTCACAAACGCAGGTAATATAAACAATAGCTATTTCATTCATTCCAATGTTGAAAAAACATCGCGTCATGTTGAGAACGTGTTTCATATTTACCTATTCATAGTTCTTTATAAGAATAATGGCTGATAAATGGGTGAATAATAATACCTATTTAAATATTAATTGCTATTTTTTATAAATCTCCAGTTGCAGTCCACTGATATGGCCGCGTGAGTTAGAATTGACACTCTCTGTTCTCTTAACACATACATGTCATAAAGTAATTTAAGTGTGATCGAGGCAGCTTGTACTGTTTTGTAATAACCTGAGCCTATAATAAAGATCTTCATCCTGCCCAGCCGGGAAGCCGTAATAAACTCTGCGTTTTGAACTTTAAAAAAGTCGAAAGTGTCACTAATATCAATAAGCAACGAAGTGAAAATCTGAAACCGTAGAAGTTTTTATCTAAGACAGATAATTTAAAGATTTTATAATTTATTTTTTCCATTTCCGTGGATATTTGTCAGTTACAAAAATGGTGTAAACAGCATGCTTCATTCCCATCAGTTTAGTCGTTGCGATTGTAAAATAATTGAAAAGATAAGAAAATAAATCAGATTCAATTGACTGAGTGTCAGCGGTCACGTGGCGAGGCGCGAGGGTACACAAGCGTGTTCTTGCCGGTGTAAGCAAGGAGGGGAGGCAATCACGGAGCACCATCCACGCTCCAACAACGTGACGATGCACGGGAGCTCGGTGGATAAAAATAGCCTACATTGTTTTGATGTTTGTTTGTTTCAACCAAGTTTTTCTTTAAAACAACTTGTAAAGTTAAAGCAATTCATGGGAAAATTTTGTATTACGTAAGCACACAACTTGACATTTGAATGCTACTCTTTACAATATTTTTTAAATAGTTATTTTTAAAAATATATCAAAATAATATTTTATATAATGTCATAAAGTAGAATGATTTACTTTATAATTATAATGGATGAACGCAAAGAATACTTAATCGATATTAATTATTCTTATACTTATAAAAATCTACATAAAATCGCACACAAGGTGAAAGCCGGCGATTCATATACAGTGAGTGATGTACATACAATTTGTTATATAAGTAGGTAAAGAATATTATTTTTTTATAAGGAAGTTAATATCAAACTATTCTCTATCAAATTAATTTAGTGCAAATTAATCTACTTAAATTGTAGGACTTCTTAAAAAACTTAGTGTAGTTTCGTTCGCTGTGTTGTAACAGTTAAATATTGTTGTACTAGACAATACATTTATATTATAATAATTGTTAGAAGTTTCAGAATATTTGGATAGGTCCTAATAAGATATCGAAAGATATATTTAATAGTTCTTACAATACCTTTGTTGCTGAATACTTATCGAGTAAAGCCTGTTACACTGCAATCTTAAGCAGGTAGCAACGTAAAAGGATTAAGGACAGACAGTGGAACAGTGGAGACGAGATATTTAATATACTATAAATATGATTCTGAGAGATGGATTTGAATTTGTATTATACATAGATGACTAAGCACACGGTTCATCTGATGGTAAACGGGTACAGTAACATATGGATGTCTGAGAGAACAGAGTTATTACATGCGCAATGCCGACCCTTAAGAAACCTTTAATAGGCCATTCATGAAAAACTCCGGGCTGGCGTCTAAATCTGGCCAACACTGAGAAACTTATTTTTAATTTTTATTATTAGAAATGAAAATTTAAAATAAGTTCAGAAATAGAAAATTGTAAAAAAAACTAAATTGGATCGAATGAAGGTGGTGAACAATGAATGGAATAATAAGTCCTTTCTTTAAGTTTATTTATTACGAACTGACATTGCTTTTTTATAATATATAATGTAACAGCTTGTACTCACGTTTGTGTACAAGAATAGACGATGTAAAGAAAATTTCAATGAAATTGTATATTAAAATTACTTATTTGTTTCAGTATTTACCTTTCATAGAGTACTTCGGTAGAATAGTGGTTTAGTATAAGACTCGCGAGTTTCAAACTCCAACACACAATAAAACATAGATTATTTATATCGAATGTGAGATTATATTGTAGAAAAGCAACCAGCTTTTCTATATGCATGATCAAAAAATATACTTAAATATGTTTATCACTTGTATAAAGTTATCTATATATTAATTGTATTCATATAACTTAAATAGGTTCAGGAAATAGTCTGTCAATTAAAACAGTAATATTAACTTTTCATTTTATAAATTGGAAAAAATAATTGTAGGCATATCAGTTGATGTATAATATATTACGCTTACTATATTTTTTTTTTATATTATTATGTGGACTTGAGTGACGTGTGTTAATTATAGATAATACATATTAATTAATATCAGGGATCGAACGTCTGCTGTGATCAAGGTAAGCCGCATTTCCATAGGTTGCACATCATTACTTGTATACTATACATAATGATTATTATCTTTAGATGACATTTCATGCAGTAATGTATATAGAAATATTTTTAATACAAATTTATTATTATAATAATAACCCAACATCACTCATATGCTCACTTCTACTAAGCGGATGGAAGAATTGATTCATATACTTTTTGTAAACAAATACAAAATATATGGAATAACAAATAGTCATACTAACATATAATAATGAATGCAAATGTTTGTATAGTATGAGAATCGAACACACTATAATGTGTTGTCAGTAATAAAATGATTTTATTATATTTTACCTATATTCGTCAAATGAATCTATGAAAAAGATATCATTTGTTTTAACGTAGGATATAGAATTGCCTATTAATTATATATAGCTTGTCGATGTGTCTAATAATAAATTTATTCGTTAAAATTTTTACTTCTTTTTTAAGGCACGGATGGGATTTCCTTTTAGGATTCCTTCCGTTCTTCTAGGGTTGTTTATCAATTTGTTCCTGCATATATATCTACATAAATAAATGAATTAAATGATTTTCACCAATAATATAATTATTAAATAATGAAATCTTTATTTAAATATATTAATTAATACAAAAGATATATCTAAAATAAACAAATTATTACAATATACATATATTAAATAAACGTTAGGTTTAGGAACTAGCTGATACTACGATAGTCTTTTAGCAGCATTGTCTCGCTGGATGAAAATTTGTTATAGGTTTTTGTCGTAAATCTAATGATCAACATAGTGATCGCTTTAGAATATTAGTTTTTGCGTTCTGGAGGAACTAATACGCACAGTTTTCTTTAGAGTTGTAATGCCGCGTAACCGTGAGAAATGTACGGGATGACGTTATATTGTCGGCCATAGTGTTTCCTATTGAAAAAGTATTGTATACGATTATTAAATCTACTCTCAGCATCTTTAACCAACTCTTAGTTGCATAACGTATATTGGGTGGGGAAAGGGGATTGTGAGTATAGGGGAGTACCGCCTTTATTGTCCGTATTGATTCATGATAGGATTACCTCCATACGGATACAATCATATGAGCCTTTTTAATTAACAATGTAACAGTTTCCTGTTTTGTTAAATAACAAATGTGAATACTATATGTACACGGCTAGTCGTTAAGAATATATTAAGCTGGAAACATGAACTTTATCCAATGTATTAATATATAAAGAAGAAATATTTGATAATTATGTTTGAAATAAATAAAAAAATAATCAATTGTTTTTAAAAATTACTTCACCTCTTTAAATTAATCTAAAGTAAGTTAAGTACTATAATATTATAAAGAAGTAATAATGAATAACTTTGTAACCGGATTGACAAATAATTTATTTTTATTAAATTAGGTCACCCATAGACAGTTTGATTACATGGGTGTATATATTTAAAAAAAAAAACTTCAAGTAACTGCACCCGCGTGAACCCATATATATATATATATACCAAGGCGATATTTACGCCAAAATTCATAACTACAGCGTATGAGAACATAAAATATAGGAAAAATTTCTTATCCGTACACTTACAGTATACGGATACAGGCTTCTGCCTGTATCCGTATACTGGAACAGGACAAGAACAGGGAACTGTCTTCACACATCTAATGAGTTGGTTACGTAAAATCGACAACCCTAATCGGTGGGGGTAGGAGTCAGCGGTGGGAGTTGCTACAGGAAGCGGGAAGTAACCTAGTTGCTAGATTACGTGCGCAAGCG